ACGGTCAGAGGGTTCCCACGGAGGGCAGAGTTCACCAGGATGGTCTGGATCTGGTCTTCAGTCCTGTAGAAGAGCAAGATTCAGGCACCTACACCTGTGTGGCCTCCAACCTAGGTGGACAGAGGGAACAGGAGGTCTCGTTCACTGTTGCCAGTAAGTCGATCACAAGACGTCTGTGAAGATAAATGAACAAGGAGCTGGTTCACCTAACCCACATACATCAAGTCTGAAAACACGTCGACTCTGGTCTCTTTCCAGAGTCCCGACGCACCAAAATGTGGAAATCTGTAAAATCCACAAAGTTAGAAAAATGAAATGAATACGGATAAAATATTGGTAGCGTGATGAATTGTCCATTTCTGACCTAAAAGGCCCTGCTCTGTTTTGCTCTGCTCAAGCTAAACCAGAAGTTTCTGACACAAACCTAATCTGCATGAGATAAGGCTCAAGGTCTCGTGCTCTGCTCCTCAACTGTTTCTTCCTTTCCAGCTCAAGAGAAGAATGAAGACAAAGGACTCTTTCTTTTAATAAATCAGAAGAACTCTATTTTTAATAAAGCTAATCAAACAAAGTGTTAGTCAATAATAAAATGTGAACCAATCTGTGAAATGACAATGTTTATGATCAGTAGTATTATAATAATTAATATAACTTTAAATGTTTCCACTAGAGACTGATCACATGTAATGTTAAGAGTCACGTGACACATTTCCTTTTTCTGATCCAATCAGAGCCTTCCAGATCTGACGCGAGGCGTGCTTTAGTGGTGCTTGGTAAATCTGTCCCTTTTTGATTCGACCGTAAATCAAAACATCCAATTATAAAACTACGCCCACGTCATCTTAAATTCAGTTCAAGCGTTCTAGAGAAGTTGTCGGAGTGGCCAATCCGTAACTTTCCTCTTCAGCCGAAAGAACCTAACGACAAGCTGGATGAAATCTGTTGCTGTTCCACCTGCTGCAACGGTTCCTTTCAGAATAAAAGCTGAACTATCACGACCCATTTTTGGGTCTCGCTAGATGCCAATAAAACTGTCGTGACCCGGAAGTATCTCAAGACTGGTCAGGTCGGCAGCCGCTGCTTTTCTACCGGCTTCGGTGCCAGAGGAGGTCAAGCTGGACCTCGACATTCCTGATCTAACGGGGACTTCCGCAAAGGAGACGTAGGCCGACAGAATGGCGTCTCAGTGTGTGTTATAAATCTCCAAACCAAAGATTAGCGCGAAACATCATCTTCACTCCCATCGGAACGAATCGTTTCTCCGGATTTGCTGGTTCTGAACAACGTTCCACACACACACCATCCTCAGTCTTACTTCTCCTTAGTTACACCATACACCTAGTGTTAAAGTTAGTCTAGTTTTAATTTGTTTAGTAATAAATCTTTAAACTTTTAAAACTTGACTCTTTTCTTGAAGTTAATACGTAGTGTTGCTCATTCCCTGTTATAGAAAGATCCGATCTTCTGATTAAATTGACTTAAAGATCCGTTAAAGGTGATATTTCATATTTTATGATTTCTAATTAAATGTAGGAACATCTCTACATATTTATTTCATCAACTTCCTGGAGTCTTGGACGTCACTGAGGGACTGGTCTCCTGCTCTGTGATGCTTTATTAAACTGTGTGTGTGTGTGTGTGTGTGTGTGTGTGTGTGTGTGTGTGTGTGTGTGTGTGTGTGTGTGTGTGTGTGTGTGTGTGTGTGTGTGTGTGTGTGTGTGTGTGTGTGTGTGTGTGTGTGTGTGTGTGTGTGTGTGTGTGTGTCTCTCCCCAGCTGCTCCAGTGTGGTTAACGAAACCTCAGGACAGCAACTTAGAGGAAGGGAGACCAGGTTACCTCCACTGCCACGCTCAGGCCAACCCTCAGCCGGAGGTCACCTGGCTACGTAACAACATGAAGATCACACCTGAGGTCTGTTATGGTCGTTCTTTCTTGTAAAATCATCTCAGACACACATCAAACTGAACTTCTACGTCCGTTTTCTCCACCAGGACTCTCGTTTCAAGTTGTTCCCTAACGGCACCCTGAGGATCAACAACGTGGAGGTGTACGACGCTCACATGTACGGCTGTGAAGCCAAGACCGTGGGCGGCTGGCTGTCTGGCAGCGCTCGAGTCAGTGTGCTCGGTGAGCTGGGGGGGGGGGGGGGTGTGAAATGACAGAAATCTGGGTGATAAATACTTTTTCCTTTGGACCCGTGTTGGTGCTCCTTTTATGGGATTGCGTTGTTGACGTGGGCTTCCTGTAGGACTCCCACAGAAGTCTAATGGGCTCGACACACGGGAGGCGACATCGCCTCTCCTCCATTCATTTTCAATGAGACATGCGCGACAAAGCGATAATCGCGGGTCTCCCTCCTACTAAACGAAACGCGAAAAACGTGCGTGTGAAAGTTTGCACTCGTGCACGTGTCGTGCACGTACGACCCAGCGACGCGATCCCAGAAAGTTGAAACATTTTCAACTTTTCATCGCTGTCGCTCGGACGAGGACCAATCAACGGAGGTTTCATTCACTGACCAATGAGCGGACAGGATGCTCCGCACATCTCCGAGCAAACATGGAGGAGAAGTTGATTATTATTATGTTTTATAGTAAAATCAGAAGTAAGATTTCACATAACTCTAGCAGCACCTTGTGAAACATCATATCTACCACTGTTTTAACTCTGAACCGCTTAAATAACCTTAATTCCCTCCAACCTGACACAGCCAAGCAAAACAACGGAAGTTTAGGTTTCGCCATGGAACAGAACGCGTAGACTGCTTTGCCGCTGGCGCGGGTCGCCTCCCGTGTGACAGGTAATAAAAGCGAGAGCGACAAATTTCGCTGATCGCGGCCGTTTGTCGCCTCCCGTGTGTCGAGCCCATAACTCAGCTAGCTCTTTCCCACACACCCCGTTGCCAAGACAACAGATGAAGAACTTTTGATGCTGAGAGCATAACACCTGAAGCGTTCCCGCACAAAGACGTCATGTCTAATGTAATGCAGGGTCATGTTTCTTCTTGCTGTTGATGTAAAAAGGTTTCAAAGTTTCTGAATGTGAACAAACACAAACAGGAAGTTGTTTTTAGCTTTGAAAGTGGAAGTACTGCACAAATCCAGTGTGAGGGCTGAACTCAGCTTGACCGGACTTTGCATAAATAAGGTCCTCTGACAAATTCCTGTTCTCAAAAAGGAATCCTCCATTTCTTCTGGAGGGGATGGAAACATCCCGTTAGACATCGTTTACGAGCTTTCCCTGTTTGTTTTTTTAGTGTCTCCCAATAACGAGAAATGATCTGTTGTTAGGGATGTGAATCTTAGAGCAACTCACAATTTGATTTGTTTCCGATTCTCGGGGTGCCGATTCGATTCAGAATCGATTCTCAATTTAAATCGATTCACAATCAGTGTTAACAAAGCGTGTCGGCTCCAGGTAGTTAAAGCTATGGGACATTTTTATTAGACTTTAAACTGGTCGTGCTCCAAAATGCAGATTTACAAGGTAAAATAAAGTGATTCTAAAACTGTAAACAGAAACAATCTTTTGACCAAAAGGCAACATTTATTTTTGCTTACCTTGTAAAATATAACAAATCTGTAGTTACCTAACAGTATCAAGTATGTGTAGGAACAAGTTACATGAGTAATCCTGAACCCTCATTTATCAACTTAGAAAATAAATATGAGAATATCTCTAATTTCTGAGTATGGAAAAAATGACATTCAAGCGCCCTCTTATCAGCAGATTCAAACATAAATCATCTCAGTTTATGTGACCACAGAAGTAAACGGAGTACTGACTCTCTTAAAGAAGATCACAAAAGTGCATCTCAAACCTCACACGGTATCCGCGGGTCCTTAAAAAGTCTTAAATTAGCTTTTCCTAATTTAAGGCCTTAAAAGTCCTTAAAAATGACAAATAATCCTTAAATCCAGTTTCCAAAGGTCTTAAATTACCAAAGACCCACTAAACAAGATTATTTTATTTCTATAAAATTTTCGTGAATTTCTAGTTGGTGTTCAGCATTTTTTGTGTACGATGTTGCCGTAAGCGGAACCGTATACATTCAGCTGGTTGTGAAAGGGGGCAATTTTTAGATGAGCACATTAGCTGGTTAAGCTAGTGGGAGCTTGAGCCATGGGGAAGGGCAAGTTTAATGGTAACTGGATGGCTAATCCCACGTTTGCGGCTTGGTTAGCACCGGCTCCAGTCAATAGCTGGAAATTATAGCTTAAATTTGATTTTTCAAATAGCTTAAATTTGGTCAAAGTGGCCTTAAAAAAGGTCTTAAAAAGTCTTAAATTTGGCTCCCTTAAACCTGCAGATACCCTGAACCTGTAACGTGCCAAATATTTCAGTTCTTGGAATCGACTCTGAATCTTTATAAATAAGAGTCCCGATTCAGACTTGAATCGGTTTTTTTCAGCACCTCTATCTGGAGTTAGCTTCTGTGTTGTTGCCACCTTTCTGCGTGACTTTGGATCCACCTGGCGTCGTTTAATCTGCGAGACGAGGTGCACGCTCTGGCCAGCAGCTGAGCCCCGCCCCCTCACGTGTTAACATCTGCATCATGAGCGTTTTTACTTGTGTTCCAGAGAAGCTGAAGTTCACACCGACCCCACAGCCTTCCCAGTGCCTGGAGCTGGATGAGGAGGTCACCATCCAGTGTTCCGCTAAAGGTCGAGAGAGCCCGACGATCCGCTGGACCAAAGCAGGTCAGGTTTAGTTTTTGCTCCCAGTCGCTGTAGGTCAGATTTTAAAAAGGCGGTTTGGTCAAATCTTAGTACGTCTCCATCATTCCTCTTAGACGGAGGAGAGCTGCCGCCTCACGTGGAGCAAAGGAACGGTCAGCTTCATTTCACTAAAGTCACCCGCAGCGACGCCGGCAACTACACCTGCATCGCCTCCAACAGCCTGCAGGGGGAGATCAGAGCCCTGGTGACCCTCACCGTGGCCGGTAAACCGTGATCGCTTTGGCAGTTCCAGAGGTTCCTGGATCTCTTATTAAAGAGCTTTGTGTGGATTTTCCATCCAGTTTACATTCGCTTCAAAGTAGAACCCGAGAGTACGACGGTGTACCAGGGACACACGGCTGTCCTGCACTGCCAGGCCACCGGCGACCCCGAGCCTCACATCCACTGGATGATCAAAGACAAGGCGCTAGACATCAGCAGGAACAGGAGGTGAGGTCCAACGTTTTCATCAGACCAGTTTTTACCGGTGATGGAATCCGTTTATAAACATACAACAGAGTTTGTGTTCATCTAAAAGTAAGCGGCGCCCTGCGGCTTTAGCAGGAGGAACCCCGTTTGTGCTGTGCAGACTTCACCTCCCGCTGTCGTCTTGTCCTTCCCGTTTGTCCTCCAGGTTCCAGAAGATGCCCAACGGCTCCTTGATCGTCACAGATGTCACCACAGAAGACACGGGCCGGTACACGTGTGTGGCTGGAAACAGCTGCAGCATCAAGGACCGCGTGGCTCAGCTGTATGTAGTGGGTGAGTCTTACACACTCGCGCAGACAGACGGGTCTCCTTCATCAGGATACAACGCTACACACACACACACACACACACCTGACCACAGGAGCAGAGAGAAGGCATTAATTAAACCTCCACCCTGCTGTCCATCATCTACAGCGACAGGTTAATAACCGGGGCCGCATCCCTGACGCCGGTGCTGTCACCGCGGTGACGGGATTGGGCAGATGTTGGATCTCATTAAGCTTCCCATGTTGAGACTCCTCGTGTGTTCACAAGAGCTTAAAGTTACAGTCACTCCCCTCCCAGTGATCTGCTGAAGCAGACGGATTCTGTTTCAGCCGCCTTCAGACCAGACGGCCATTGATTTGTAGATGTTTGCTGTAGCTTGTCTGGGTTTGCGTGACGTGACGACCGCAGATCAGGAACGCCGTATGGGAACTCTTTGATGTGTGAAGCCAAGAAGAGCTTTGCTTTTGTGCAACGCACGACCGTAGCAGCTTTTTCAGAGAAGTTGGATGATTCCAACTTTTTCTTCCAACGATAAAATGTTACAACAGAAAAACACATGAGCGTAATCGCTGCCTGTGCTCCGTAGACAAACCAGTGCTGTTTCCGAACGGAGATGACGACAGGGCTCCTTACAAGATGATCCAGACCATCGGCCTGTCGGTGGGGGCGGCTGTCGCTTACATCATCGTGGTGCTGGGTCTCATGTTCTACTGCAAAAAGAGACGCAACGCCAAAAGGCTGCAGAAGGGTCCGGATGGCGAGGAGCCTGAGATGGAGTGTCTTAATGGTAGGAATCCAGCTGGGACGTTTGTGGTGTCTGCTGCCACCTTGTGTTGGTTTTGAGCATTGCACAAACACAATAATACAGCAGATGTGTAGATGATACTCAACTTTATAAGTTTGTGTTTTTCTTTCTGTCCAGGAGGCGCCGTTCAGCAAAATGGCCACACCACCGCCGAGATCCAGGAGGAGGTGGCGCTCACCAACATGAACACCATCTCCACAGCAGAGAAGCGCCACAGCCACACCAACGATAAGCTCCACTTTCCTCGTGCCAACCTCCAAACCCTCACGACGTTAGGTAGAGTTCAACGGCCGGATCTGAGAGTGGATTGTTCCGATGAAACCCAACTCACACACCTGAATTCTGATGTTTGCTCAGGTAAAGGCGAGTTCGGGGAGGTGCTGCTGTCCAAAGCAAAGGGCACCGATGAGAGCGACACAGAGGCGGTGGTGCTGGTCAAGAGTCTGCAGTCCAGAGACGAACAGCTGCAGCTCGACTTCCGCCGCGAAGCCGAAATGTTTGCCAAGCTCAGTCACCCCAACGTGGTCCGCCTGTTGGGCCTCTGCAGGGAGGCAGAGCCGCACTACATGATCCTGGAGTACTACGACCTGGTAGTCAGACAGGAACACTCACTCGTGGATCTGTAGGTTTGTTTTCATGTTTAAACGCATCGCTTTACTTTAAACAGGGAGATCTGAAGCAGTTCCTGAGAATTTCCAAAAATAAAGACGACAAAGTCAAGTCTCAGCCAATCAGCACCAAGACCAAAGTAAGTCCCGAGTGGGGTGCATGTGAGTCCCACAGTAACAGATTACATTTGGCCCCGCCCCCTCAGGTGCAGAGTCACAAACGTGATGGGAAAAAAAAATCAAGGAGTCGTATCGTTGATGCTCTTGCATCATCCTGATCCCAGAAGGTGTCAGCTGTTTACTCTCCCTCCAGGTGTCCATCTGTGCCCAGGTGGCTCGTGGCATGGAGCATCTGTCCAATCACCGATTCGTCCACAAAGACCTCGCTGCCAGAAACTGTCTGATCAGCAGTCAGAGGAGGGTCAAAGTGTCGTCCCTCGGCCTCAGCAAGGACGTCTACAACAGGTTTCAGATTTTAAAGAATCACGATAAATCCTGAACATTTAGTTAAAATGACATAAACACGCTTCAATGACCCGTTTCTGTGTTAGTGAGTACTACCACTACAGACAGGCGTGGATCCCTCTGCGCTGGCTCCCGATGGAGTCCGTGTTCGAGGACGACTTCTCCACCAAGTCTGACGTGTGGGCCTTCGGAGTGTTGATGTGGGAGGTGTTCAGTCACGGAGACATGCCGTACGGCAAGCTCAGCGACGACGAGGTGCTGGAAGGTGAGCGTGGTCTGGCATTGGCAGGTTTTGTGTGTGTGCGCGTGTGTGTGTGTGTGTGTGTGTGTGTGTGTGTGTGTGTGTGTGTGTGTGTGTGTGTGATTCATTCGTCAGTGGTGTCCCACTAATGTGGGGAACGATCCCCTTCATTTGCAGGTCTAAAGATGGGGAAGCTGAAGCTCCCTGTTCCTGATGGATGTCCTTCTAAACTCCATAAGCTGATGCTGCGCTGCTGGGCGCCCAGCCTCAAAGAGCGGCCATCTTTTTCTGACATCGTCCACGCTCTGGGAGAGCTGCCCTCTGACAGCAAAGTCTGAGATCAGAGGGGAGCGTTTACAGACCCTGCACCCCCCCAGACGTAAAGACCTAAATGCTGGATTACTACATTTCAGGGAAGAGCGTTGAAGAGGAAACGTTTTTATATGCATTTCAGTTCTGGGAGTGGAAACACTCGCGTGGCTCCGCAGCATGGATCAGCTTCGTTGTGATTCCACTGTTTGCAGCATCTCTGTCTCAGAGAGGCTTTAGTTTCACCCGCAGTGCCTGCACCTCTTCACACACACACACACACACACACACACACACACACACACACACACATCATCATCATCATCATCATCTGCAAAGCCCATTAACAGACAAAACTTATCAAATCCTATAATTATCAAAGAATGTGTGAAGTAGGACCTGATTTGCTTTGATCTGCTTCGTTTTTACTCCTCCATCCTAACTTCTGCGGGGATCTTTAGCCGCCTCTCCACGAGAAGAGCTGTCGTCCTGTTCGTGACACAAAAACAAACAAATCCACGTTATGGTTACACTACAGGAACAAACAAACACATTTTATAGCCAAGCAAATGGCCTTTTTTCATAAATGTCTTGTTTTTATTATATTTGAGGTGCTTATCTGACACCACAGATGGGTGAGAAACCCCGTTACGTAAACATCATCATGTTAGTTGCAGGAACCGAGCCAATCATATTTAGCCTGGAACGTCCACGGAGGTCCCGTTACGTTTTATTTTGTTACAAGACGGACCATCGCGCCAGATAAACGTGTAAATAATGTAGAAGCCATGCACTAACTTCACTTAAAAGAATATCCCTCTTTTGTTTGTTTAGAAGGACATGCAGGTGCCTGTTTGTTTATGATGAAGGTCCTGTTTACGTTTGTCATGCATTGTTTATAATTGGTACTTTGGTGAAGTTGTTAGGTTGGTGTTCAGTCTGGTACATAACTGAATAAACTAACACTAAATATAAAAGAGTGACTCGCGGTCACCAGATAAGTGCCTAGTAAATGAAGGATTATTATTAACAATCTCCCTTTTTCACGTTATCTAATCGATGGCCTTTGTTTATGAGCTGGGTTTTATGTTTTTATTGTTTTGGTGTATGATGTTTGTGTTTTTTATATGAATGCTAGGCGCTCACACCTAGACTTTGTTTTCTTTCATCTTTCTTCAGCAGATGTTCACAGTAATCATGGATATATTCAAAAGTATACATGCTGCTGTCAATAAACATTCACAGTGTTTTTACTCATCACGAGATCGTCTGAGTTTCGTGTGTCAGCATTTAGATTTGGCGAAGAGATTCAAATGAAAAAGTCACGCTCCCTTTAAAGGAGACTTGACTCTCTGAAGGTACAAAGGTTGTACCGTCGATATAAAACATGTTAGTTCCCTTTCACGTAGTGATTTCGGCTGTTTTGTTCTTGACATTTTCAGTACCTTCCAGAATGAGTCGTTTCAGGGCTCTGTCACTTTAAGAATTTAACCTGAGAAGCTCCGACATCCGAGAGGGACTCGCACTGGGGGGCATCAGCAGCGGGACCGTTTTTCTGGGGAAAAGTCCACATGAAACGGCACTCCCATCTTTTCCATCCTCCTTTTTGATCACCTCGGCCAGTTTGGATCGACCCCGACTAAAATGACTTATTTTTGTAACGGCGATGTTCCGCTTTCATTCCACGCCCCCCAGTGAGAACCAGGCTTGAGAGGAGAGCCACTACTCCTCCAGCAGCAGCTCTTTTACACATGAGAGCTAGTTTTATTCCCCATTTGTGATGTCACAATAGGAGGGAGGTTTTTTTCATGTTTTGAGTCTTTATGAAGGATGCGTAAACTTGCATGGAGGCAAAAAATTATGCGACAGGTGAGTATGTCTCCCTTAAAGCAGTGCTTCTGAACTTTGAAGTGGAGTTTCATGGAAAAGGCTACAGTTTTGAAGGCACTTGACTGACCTCGTTGTTTGAGCCTAACTAATCTGTTTCTCCAAACTGAGACCCTTCGTAGTGCTGTCTGTAAAAGATAAGATATTAAAACTCACATTTCTACAAAAACATTTTCTTCACAGTATATAAATGTTTCTCAGTTGCAACACGTTTTTTTTAACCACATGATTGTTTTGTCTACCTAAATATGGAAAAAATGATCTTGTTTCCACTCGGCAGCAGTGTAGAGATGCAGCTTCCTGTTGCACCTGTTTAACACATGAAGACTCTGGTTTGCATGTCATTTCTGCAAGTTAACCATCATAAAAATGTCTAAAATATGCAAACATTTGTTGAGAATATTATTGAAAAGAAAGCGTAATGGTTGGCCTGTAGGTCCTAATGCACGAGTCTGCAACTTTTACAATCCAAAGAGCTGTTGTGGACTGGGGTCCACCACAATAAAAGTGTTTAGAACCCCAACTGTTAAAGGACCTTAAAAAAAGAAAGAAACTTCTTTATGCCCTAAGATGGTTATGGACAATTTTTCTTGAATTTTTCGAAAAAAAATTAAGTCTGTTTAGATTTTTTCTCAGATTAAAAAGTGAAAAATAATGTTCTTTCATAAATATCTACAATGAGATGTTCATTTTCATTAGGTTTTAAAAAAGAGGATATGGTTTCCCATGGGGTGTAAAAAATTAAACGATATTACCGGAAATTTTTGTTTCATTTTATGGAAAATTCAACAAAATTACTCCATAATTTTTTTTTAAATCTGCTTACCCAGATGTATGAAGACACTGCGGAAGGTCCAAAGAGCCGCTGGTTCTGGTTTAGCAAAAGAACGTGCACTTCCCCGGGTTCGCCTCTAGGGGGTGGTATACAACCTCAATCTAATCTAATCAAAGATAAAAACCTTGTATTGCTCCAACTTAACATTTACTTTCTGATTTGAACTTGTTGGGGGATTTGTGACATTTCTCCATTGTGGAGTATTAAAATTAAACATTTTGTTCACAGCCAACTTCACACCTGTTAACGAGGCTTCACTTGAGAACATATTATGGTTGGATTAACGATCAATACAGGTGCTGGCCAGTAAATTAGAATATCATCAAAAGGTTGAAAATATTTCAGTAATTCCATTCAAAACGTGAAACTTGTACATTATATTCATGCAATGCACACAGACCAATGTATTTCCAATGTTCATTACATTTAAATTTGATATTCATAAGTGACAACTAATGAAAACTCCAAATTTGGTATCTCAAAAAATTAGAATATTCTGAAAAGGCTGAATATAGAAGACACCTGCTGCCACTCTAATCAGCTGATTTACTCAAAACACCTGCAAAGGCCTTTAAAAGGTCCCTCAGTCTTGTTTTGAAGGCACCACAATCATGGGGAAGACTTCTGACTTAACAGCTGTCCAAAAGACAATCATTGACACCTTGCACAAGGAGGGCAAGACACAAAAGGTGATTGCTAAAGAAGCTGGCTGTTCGCAGAGCTCTGTGTCCAAGCACATTAACAGACAGGCGAAGGGACGGAAAAAATGTGGTAGAAAAAAGTGTACAAGCTCTAGGGATAACCGCACCCTGCAGAGAATTGTGACGACAAACCCATTCAAAAATGTGGGGGAGATCCACAAAGAGTGGACTGCAGCTGGAGTCAGCGCTTCAAGAACCACCACGAGGAGGAGACTCATGAAAGACATGGGATTCAGGTGTCGCATTCCGTGTGTCAAGCCACTCTTGAACATGAAACAGCGCAAGAAGCGTCTCGCCTGGGCCAAGGACAAAAAGGACTGGACTGATGCTGAGTGGTCCAAAGTTATGTTTTCTGATGAAAGCAAGTTCTGCATTTCCTTTGGAAATCAAGGACCCAGAGTCTGGAGGAAGAGCGGAGAAGCACAGAATCCACGTTGCATGAGGTCCAGTGTAAAGTTTCCACCGTCAGTGATGGTGTGGGGTGCCATGTCATCTGCCGGTGTTGGCCCACTCTGTTTCCTGAGGTCCAGGGTCAATGCAGCCGTCTACCAGGAAGTTTTAGAGCACTTCATGCTTCCTGCTGCTGACCAACTTTATGGGGATGCAGACTTCACCTTTCAACAGGACTTGGCACCTGCACACAGTGCCAAAACCACCAGCACCTGGTTCAAGGACCATGGTATCCCTGTCCTTGATTGGCCAGCAAACTCGCCTGACCTTAACCCCATAGAAAATCTATGGGGTATTGTGAAGCGGAGGATGCAATACGCTAGACCCAACAATGCAGAGGAGCTGAAGACGACTATCAGAGCAACCTGGGCTCTCATAACACCTGAGCAGTGCCACAGACTGATCGAGTCCATGCCACGCCGCATTACTGCAGTTATTGAGGCAAAAGGAGCCCCGACTAAGTATTGAGTGCTATACATGCACATTCTTTTCATGTTCATTCTTTTCAGTTGGCCAACATTAGAGAAACAAACATTTTTTCATTGGCCTTTAGAATATTCTAATTTTCTGAGATACCAGATTTGATGTTTTCATTGGTTGTCACCTATAAATATCAAAATTAAACGTAATAAACATTGGAAATACATTGGTCTGTGTGCATTGCATGAATATAATGAACAAGTTTCACGTTTTGAATGGAATTACTGAAATATTTTCAACCTTTTGATGATATTCTAATTTACTGGCCAGCACCTGTATATCATGTCATGATTCTGTTTTACATCATAACACAATTCTGTTTTTAGTTATTTTTTTCCACTGATCTCTGGTGGTAATAAAACCCCTTAGCGAGAGGTTCTGGCATCTTTCCTCTTGATGTTTGGTTGAAGTCAAATCAAAACGTTATACCTGGGGTTTGTTGCAACCTGTCTGTTGCAGGAGGTGGGCGGAGTTCACAGCCATGTTTACAACACTGATAAAAACAAATTAATTAGGATTTTCCCTCTTAATACATTTTAAATGTAGCTTGGTCTGCTAGAAATGCAGTTTTGTGTGACAAACATTTTATTTACAATTTTCGTACAGGTTTATTAAGAGACATTATATTGGCAAAAGAAAACATTTAATTTTTGCCGTTTGAGATTAAATAAGTTAACGGCACAATGTTTAAATCACTACAGACTGAGGAGTTTAGAGGTTTTGTGGCATGACGGTATATTCATGAGGGAGATGGTGGTCAGATTATTTTAAACTCTAAAGTAAAATTATGAAAACATGTTAACACTTCAAATGATTCTAAAGAAAGCCAGGCTACCTGAATCTAAGCATAAGAAGTAGAGGAGTGGCTTTGAACTTGTGCACATACCGCTGGTGCAGATTCTCAAAAGTGCACCTGAAAGAGGAGTTTAGCAGTTTTTATGAAGGAGAAACTCTGGCGCAAACCCAGCTTGCGCTATGACTTTGTGCAACCTGTAGGGATAAAGTTGTGTGTTATTGTTGTGATGGTGTCTCTGCATGCCCACGGTGACGTCGACATTAGCGCAACCATTTTGGTATTTATTGTAATGAGCGTGTCCTGTCGACCAATCACAGCGCTAGTCAGATAATCCTCAGCCAATCAGCGAGCGAAGCTGTGACTCGCCAAATAAGGAGAGACAGCACCAAATAAGGAAACGTTGTATCTCTTTATAAGGAGGAAAGTAGTTCCCCGGTTAGGATATCCCTCCGCCGTCAGATAAACTTTTAAAATGAAACACTTGGCGGTGATTCAGAACGACGAAACGTGAAGCATTTAAACAAAATGGTGTCACGTGTGATGTGTAGTTGGTTATCGATTGATATTATTGTTTCATTGGTCTCACAATGTGGACTATTTGGCGCGGCGTAGGCATATTTGGGACGCTGTTCGCGCTTTCCTTTTTGAGAAAGTGCTGGGAGTTTTGGAGATAGAGGAGGAGGGTGAACCAAACCGAGCTGCGTTGACGTGTCCTGGGGGCAGCATCACTCTCGAAAGTTTGTATCTGTCATTTCCCGGACTCTCCGAACCGACCTCCGGCCTGGCTTGTTTACATTTATTGGGCCCAAGCGTGTGTCGGTTCTTCGCGGTACACCACGCTCCAGCTTTCCGGGCTGGCGGTAGTCTTCTCGGGCCACCAAATAGAATGTTACCCAGCCAGCTTGGGTCGGCACCATCTGGAAACGGGTCAGCATTAGGCAGGGGTACCACGGGACACGGTTCGGAGGCTGTCGGTGGCATTCGCCCCGTCTTAGTCCGAGCAGGGCAACCTTTAGCTGGGGTGAGTGAGAGCGGCGGAACTGCGGGGCGGCAGGGGAACGCTGCAGTCGGGATGCTGGGGGCAAACGGTCCGGGAGGTTCGAGAGGCGCAAGACCGGGAAACGAAACCGGGGCGAACCCTCTGCAGACAACAGTCCAGGGAGGAAACATGATTGCGTTAAACACGGGTGTCGTGTTGCCTCACGGAGCACGATTCAACCCGGACCGGGAGAGCCACGGAGCTCACCTGTGCAGCGGCTCGGATAATGACTCCGACTCCGGGGATGACGACGACCCAGTGGGGTCACTCGGGGACGGCAGGAGAGGGGTGAAGCGGGAGAGGGGGGAGATGGAGGCGGCTGCGGCTGGCCACGAGATGGGGGTGGCTCCCGGAGGATACGGCATGGTGGCCGGAGTCGCCGGGGCAAAGCCGGGGAAGAAGACACGTGGGCGGGTAAAGATCAAGATGGAGTTTATTGATAATAAGTTGAGACGGTACACGACTTTCAGCAAGAGGAAGACGGGCATTATGAAGAAGGTGAGTCAGGTGACACCTGCTGCAGCGCGTGAGCTGTAATAAATGGTAAACGGGAAGTCGGTTCTGATCCACGCACCGTCGGGATGCATGTTTTGTTTTTATGCAACAAAAGAATTCCTTCTGAGACCAAACGGTTGAGACTCGGTGGATGTGAGGAAGTCTGAGCTTTCATGACGGGCAATGAGCTGGAAATAGACTTGAGCAAATGACAGTTCTATTAATGACCACCCCGACACACACACACACACACACACACACACACAGAGGACCGGACACACTCATTCATTCATGCATGCACTCACTCACTCCTCCGGTCGGGTCCAGGTTCCTGCTGGAAGGTCTCCAGCGCAGGCTGTTCCCTCCTTTGCAGCCATGTGGCATTGAACTGCAGTGTGCCATCAGCTGACTAAACCCCAGGGAGAGATCAGGGATGGCCAGAGAGCACTTACACACACTTACACACTCCGTCCATGCGTGATGGCACCAGCTCATCCAGCCTCATCACTGTCTTGGTTTCAGCTTTGTTTGAGTGACAACCCAACAGGTGACTCTGGAGATGATGATGATGATGATCAAGCACCCTGCTACTCAGGCCCCATGTGAAGACACTTTTTGTTTTTGTGTTTTTTGTAACATGCTTCTGGAAAACAAAGTTCAGTATCAGACTAAGATAACCCGAGTCAATACAAAATGCAGTTTTCACAAGCAGTCATGATCAATGTGGGAAAAGTACAACAAATGAAATCAAGTCTTATCCTCTCTTCTTTACAGAATAGTTTTAATTCAGTCAAATTGGAGGGTTGTCAAAGCCTAGAAGTCCAGGTCGTCGTTTGCTGAAGCAAAATGATTTTGCTCTGCATGTCATAAATAGGATGGCTTGCCAGGTTGAGTTTTCCACCGTGAAAGGTCTGTTTAAGGTCAGACGTGCTTCTCCAGGATGTTCTGCTAGAGAGCAGAATTCATGGTTCCACCAGTTGCAGTGAGTGGTCCAGGTCGTGGGGCAACCCCAGACCATCACACTACCACCACCATGTCTGACTGTTGCTATGACAATGTTTTAGTGTGACACCAGGTGGAACTGGACACACACCTTCCACAAAGTTCCACAGAACATTTTCCCTGAAGTCTTGGATCATCATGATGCTTTTTTAATGTGAGATGGGACTTTTGGTCAGTGGAGGTTTTGGCCTTGGAATTGTCCCATGATGCCGTTTTCCCATCATTTCTTTCCTGTAGAATTGTGACCCTTGACCAGCTGAGTATATACCGTCCTGGAAAGCAGCTGGGTGTGCCTGCTGGGACTGAACTCGCTTCATAACGGGTCCAAAGTTTATTCATGATTTAACAAGGAGGCTTTTACTTTTCCATGCAGGATCAGGCTGGTTTGGACAGATTTCCTTCCCCTTTCAAAAAAAAAAAATCATTTGAAAACACAAGTTTGTATTGACTCGGGTCATCTGTTGTTTTTCTCATCTGAAACTGTTAAATGTGACAAAGAGCAAAAACTGAAGAAATACTTTTTTCGTATCCAGTAGTTACACTCTGTTAAGTACTATTAAATATGAAAACACAGTCATTCAAATAAAGAATGACTTAAATGTGGCAACAAGTCATGCACAGTTATTATAAAATTAGCTGTGAATCACAAACAGAGCCGTGCAGTGGACTTTAAACGATGACTCTAATGTAAAGTTGTGCTTTATTGTATGTTTTTGCAGAACGCGCTCTCTCCACTCTGCTGTGTTTCTTTTTTCGTGCGTTTCCCAGACTGTTGTCGTGGAAACTGGGGTGTCTTTATGTAGGCTCTTGGCAGCATCAGCACCATTTGACACAATGTTGGGGTGGAAATGGTGAAAATGTTGCCCACACTACAGAAATTAACAGGTGGGTGGAGTGGGAAGATTCATAGTAGTTTGGGTTCATCCCAGTTTGAGACCAGTCTGTTTTGAAGCATGTAATAAGTAAAGGAGGCCTGTATGTTCTTACACCATAGGTGTCTGGCATCTACACGTAAAGTCTAGTTTGACATCTAAAACGTGGTTTTTTGTCCGTGTGTGTACATGTTTCATTGCATGCCCAGAGGAGGGCTCTTTTCATTTTTCCTTCAGCTGTGACTTCACTTGCTGAGCTGTTTTTAGCACCTTTCAAGCTCTTTTCACAGCAGGATCAGCAGAAGAAATGACTAATGACGTTATTAGGAGGCGAGATCTGTTTCTTTTAACTTCTAGTATCTAATAGTCAACAGGGTATCCGCGGGTCCTTAAAAAGTCTTAAAGTCTTAAATTTGCTTTTCCAAATTTAAGGCCTTAAAAATCCTTAAAAATGACTAATAATCCTTAAATACAGTTTCCAAAGGTCTTAAATGTCCAAAGACCCAATAAACAAGATTCTTTTATTTCTACAAAATTTTCATAAATTTCTAGTTGGTGTTCAGCATTTTTTGTGTACGATATTGGCGTTAGCGGAACGTACACATTCAGTTGGTTTTAAAAGGGGGCTATTTTTAGATGAGCACATTAGCTGTTTAAGATAGTGGGAGTTTGCGCCATGGGGAAGTGCAAGTTTAATGGTAACTGGATGGGTAATCCCACGTTGGCGACGTGGTTAGCACCGGTTCCAGGCAATAGCTGGAAATTATAGCTTAAATTAAATTTAAAAAATTTGCTCAAATTTGGTCAAAGTGGCCTTAAAAAAGGTCTTAAAAAGTCTTAAATTTGGCTCCCTTAAACCTGCAGATACCCTGAGTCAAGCCTGGAGTTTATCTGCTGAGGCTCACTGATGCTGGTTTCGTACAGCTCAGACCTGCCAATGCCGCTTTTGACACATTCAGATCCACTTCAAACTAGAGATGCACCCACGACGGTTAAGAGCAGATAACAGTTTCTGCAGATGCTGATGTGTCTCAAAGAACAGAATGAAGTTCAGACTTCTACATGGAAGACCTGTAATTGCTATTGCAGCTTGTTTTTGTATTTGTACAACAGCCACTAGAGTCCTCCTGATTACGAGGCGGGCGCTTAACAACTCTGCCTCTGTGACCCATTATGCATCACTGCTTGGTGGTGGTGTGATTGCTAAACACATGACCAGGTCAAGGGATGTTCAAGAACGTATTTATGTTTAAATTAATATCCGATATCCTTAGACCTGGGACGATAACTTTTGCCGGACGATATATTGTCCAACAAATTATTGACGATATTATCGAGACCGAAGTAGCCACTTATGTAATGTTAATATGTCATAATAATGCTTTAAAATGCAACTATTACACTGTTATCTAATACAGGAATGTCCAGAAGCAGAACTTCTAAATAAATAAATGCATAAGGACTTTCAGTTTGTTACAAAATATTGCACCAAAAACATTAGATAGTAGAGGTGCTGAAAAAAAAGTCGATTCAAGTCTGAATCGGGACTCTTATTTATAAAGGTTCGGAATCGATTCCAGGAACTCAAATGTTTGGCATGTTACAGGTTTGAGACGCACTTTTGTCTGTTGTTTTGGTCTTTGTTAGGAGAGTCGGTACTCCGTTTACTTTTGTGGTCCCATAAACTGGGATGTGTCATTTTTGAATCTGCTGATAAGTGCGGACTAGAATGTAAATTTTTTTCCATGCTCAGAAATTTGATATTCTCATATTTATTTTCTAAGTTGATAAGCGAGTACTCAGGATTACTCGTGTTTATTTGAAGTTATTGATAAATGAGAGAACACATTTTCCTTTGTAAGAAATCTGAGGCACTTTTTTAAACAGGTCTGGGACTCAAATGTTAAACTTGTTTCCACAGATACTTAAAAAGTATTTGACTGTATTACTTTCAAAGCTACTGTTAGGTAACTAACGATTTGTTATATTTTATAAGGTAAGCAAAAATAAATGTAGCCTTTTCGTCAAAAGATTGCTTCTGTTTACAGTTTTAGAATCACTTTAATTTACCTTGTAAATTAGCATATTTTTTATTTTTAGCATGACCAGTTTAAAGTAAAATAAAATTTCCCAAAGCTTTAACTAACTTGCACAACAAAGTAGTTAATCCTAGAGCTGACACTCTTTGTTAATACTGATTGTGAATCGATTTAAATCGAGAATCGATTCTGAATCGAATCGGCACCCCGAGAATCGGAATCGAATCAAATCGTGAGTTGCTCTGAGATTCACATCCCTATTAAATAGACCCCGTCTCTCTAAAACCAATAAATAAATAAGAAAATGATGGACAACCCTGAGCATTCTCTTCACAAGACTGTCCAACAACGGAAGAGCGTCTTCAGTCAGAGGCTTCTTCATTTTCGCTGCAACACTGACCGCTACTGGAGATCCTTCCTGCCAACAGCCATTGTAATATACAACAACTCTTTGATGACTTGATTATTATTATTATCATGAGCTACTACAGCAATCAATTTCCCTCTGGGATTAATAAAGTATTTTTGAATTGAATTGAAATACAATGGCCTATCTTGTGTCAACTACCAAAACCACTCATAAAGGGACTTTACGGAGTTTTGAATTTTTATGCTCGCGATTGCCCCCTCAGGCCAAAAGCGTAATGGCAGCTTCAATAGTAGGCTCGTGCACGAGGCGCGCATGCTGTACGTGCACACTCCTTAACGAAAATAACAGCTGAGACAGTCCCGTGTGTGTGTGTGTGTGTGTGTGTGTGTGGCCCGGAGGACAGAGGACAGGAGAACGCGCAGCTAATTAATTAAATAATTTGGTTCTGTACCTTTCTCTTCAGCACAGCCGACAAAGGTTTATGATGGGTCAGTCCTCCTGCATGCTCAGATTATTCCCTTCCCTTGCTTGAAAAATTGTTCCAAAATGAAAGTTGAACCCACATCTTTTTTATCTGTGAATTCAATGCCGTTCGGCGAGTCTCAAATAAAAATTTCGGTATCTTACTGTAAAAAAAAAATACCATTAATGTAAAAACTAAACTCTAAATAATCTATGTTCACATCCAGAATCGAACCCAGGTCTTCTGCACGAGAGTCC